TTAAATGGCCTATTAATGGCTGAATTGCTGTTGTTCCAAATTACTTCCACTTTCTTTTTTTTTACCGTGGAATATTTAGTAGTGAGGAAATTTCACGAATTTACTTATTGGCTATGGAAGTGATTGGAACACCTGAATTCATTGATTTGGATGGGTGTCCCAATACATTTGACAATATATATATATATTGTGTGTGTGTGTGTGTGTGTGTGCATATATATATATATATGTGAGTATAATGGAATTGTGAGTCACCCTGAGTCAAGGGTAGGTTTCCACTAATCGGCATCATCCCTGCCCTTACACAATTAACACCCCTCCAGTCCCCAATATCTGACTTGTAATGGGAAGACTGCAAGCCACCCGTTGACAGGATCCTGTTAAGGCACGGGGCGGGCGGCCTGTCAGCATTGGCACTCGGCACCTTCCGCTGGGCTTGTCATTACAGCGCTGCTACTTTGGAGCCCAAGGGGCCGGATGTTGTACCCAAGGGTGAAGCATTTTAATCTGAGCAAAACAAGCAGCTGAATGCAACAGGCATGAAAGTGAACAACTAAGTTACGTTACTTAGAAGTATCCAGAAATTATGGTCCTAAATTTGAATGTGATGCGTAACAAGACGGTAATAGATGCATAAGCTGCTTGAATGTCTTTATAAAAATCACTTCACTAGTTTTTTAACAGTGACAGCTAAGACAGATCGACTGAAGGTACCTTCCCTGTCTAAGAAACTGCAGCAGACCCCCCCCCCCCCATCTCCACCGCGCCTCCAGGGTACCGGCCTGTGATCCAAGCCTAGTCTGCGTGTCCGTGTGGGTTTTCCCTCGGCTCTCCGGTGCTCTCCCACGTGCGGTTCTGCTGGTTCTGCTGGTTCTCCGTGTGTGCAGGCCCTGTGGAGGATGGCCCTCCGTCAGGTACCCTGCCTCAGGCCAGAAACAAAAAACGCTCGGTGCATTCCAAGCATGAATGCAGCCTCAATTTCACACCCAATAAATGCATTGTCCCGAAATGCATTATTTTATTTGTATGCAGCTTTCTGCAATTTTAAGCAGAGAGCGTGATTAACTCATCCATTTAAATTAATTTAGGTGTGGCAGGATGTTGATTCAGTTGTGTTTTGAGAATGTTCATTTACCAAAAGGATGATCCTCTTAATAAAAGGCCGACCGGTAAAACAAATGCAGTCCTTTGTTTTGCCCCATGAGTCTTGCGAGTGCTCTTCCATTCCTGTCTTATCTGCCCGTCAGCTGATTGGTGGACCCATTCGTTCAGAGCGCCCACAATGAGGACGGCTCTCAGGCCTGCCGGCTTTCTGCCTTGCAGTGAACTTTTATTAGTATCCTGTCTGTTACGGGGGAGATGGGCTGTAACTCTCCTCTGGTCACAAGTCGTCCTTCCTAATTTGTTTTTTTATGGAATGTCTTATCTGTGCGGCGTTCTGATTATTTTTAAACCCCTTGAAACTTGCTAACTGGACCTGGCAGGCAGGGGCACGCAGCATGGCAATTTAACTGGTCAAATTAGGCCATCCTTTGTGGTCACTTGTGATCCCTCGGGACCGAACACCTATGGCCCCTCTCTCTGACATCCTTCCACCCTTCTGCTCGCTTGACCCGGATGCCTCAGGCAGACAAAGAATCAGTTTCTTGATGAACGTCAGCGTGTGCTGCCTGGATAATGCTCTGACTGGGTCCTGGGGTGATCTTCTTACTGGTGAGTACTGCCCACATTTAGGTCTCCCTCGCTGCTCTTCCTGTTTCCAAGGGCTACGCTTCTCGTGCACAGGCCGGTCGAGAGAACCTTGGATGATGCACACTGAAGAGGCCACCTACATACGTTCTCATTAAGAGGAACATGCCCATCCCTGCATGTGGATAGCCTTTAACCTCGAGAGCAGCTCTCATCAGAGCTGGAGTCTTATTGCACACCAGTACCAATTACGTAGATGGATTTGAAGTGCCATTTTTGTGTTTTTTTGCTATTGTTAAGGTACTGTTTATGGAGATGTGAATGGAGTACTGGACATTGAACACCAGGATCATAAGTCTGAAACCACCCTCTTACATGCTTAGAAAAGGCATTTCCTTAAAGAATGATTTAAGAGGGTATAAACGTCATAATCTGACAGTAAGAGTCATGAAAAGAACCAACAAAGCGCCCCATTTTTGTGATAGATAAGCATGGCAGCTGAGAAGTCTGGGTCCCCAAAGAGCGGGTCTGAACTGGGAGACATTTATCATGTTGGGCCAAGTCAGCTGACATGTTTTTGATCATTCGGCTGTTGGCTGCAAAGATGCTATCTGCTTATGTTATGAATACGAACACCTCTCTGTACTAATTTGCTAAAGCCTGTTTTGAGGCTTCAGGGATTTAACTTTGAGTCTAATTTTCTGTTGGCATAGGAAGAAAGTGTTTAAAGTGACTCGTGGTTATAAGTGCTGCAATTATACTGAGTCATTCCTTTTCTCAGTTGCTCAGTCCTGCTGGTAATGGGGCTCGGTTAAGAGGGGGACAGTCAAGTACCCTCAGGCTGGCCAGAATGTGCTTTTGCTAAAGGATTTTTAGTCATTAGCACCAGGTATCTCCAGGTGTTCCCAAGTTAGCATGCAGTAGAGAGAGCCAGAGAGAGAGAGCCAGAGAGAGAGAGCGAGAGAGAGAGAGAGAGAGAGAGAGCTATCTTGTGGAAAAACATGGACTGACGTCTGCTAGCAGTGTAATGCTCCTGTCATGACTTCTAGTCATCATTTCTGAGGGAGGGGGTCAAATGTAAATCACAGAGGAGACACAAAGGCTGCTAAGACTAGGTTGTCATTTCTTCACTGTGTAATTTTATCCATCCAGCCCTCATTCATGCCACTCAGCCAGCACAGGGTTACAGTGACTTTGGAGCCTAACACAGGACAGGGGACACATGGGATAGTGGACACACGTGACAGGGGACACACGTGACAGGGGACACGCAGGACAGGGGACACACGTGACAGGGGACACACGGGACAGGCACGTGTAGGACAGGGGACACGCAGGACAGGGGACACATAGGACAGGATGTGACTTCATTGCAGGCTACAGACCCACACACTATGAGCAATTTAGAACTGCCAGATCATCTGACAATGTGGGATGCAACCAGAATAGCAGCAGGACATCCATGTGGTTTCTCCAGGGGTAGAAATCAAACCTACTGCCCTGCAGGCAGGAGGCCACTGGACCATCACGCCACCCCAAATGAGTCATGATTATTCCTTTATTCATTAGTTAAATGCGTTATTTGTTTATTATTGTGGGCTCTCAGCAGATGTTTCACCCAACTGTTATACATTTAAGCAGCTGGATTCTATTACTGTTTGACTGATGTGATCGTAAGCTGTAATTAGGGGCCTTTCGTGTTGTGTCAGTGATGTCAGCGCCATGTTAAAAATGACGATAATAAAGTTCTTGCTAATATTTAGAATTAAAAGGAATAATTTTAATATTTATTTTATTATTTATTGCCGTGGCTTACTGTGACCTCTCGCCACCAGTGCTGGGGTTTGATAGTCACCTCTGCTCTGTGTGTGCGGTGTTTGCATGTTCTTCTCGTGTCGTGTAGGTTTCTTCTGCGTGTGCCTGTTTCTTCCCACAGTGTAAACGCATGCAGTCTGGCAAACTGGTGTCTCTAAACTACCCAGAGAGTATGACTGTGTGTGGGATTAGCGATGGACTGGTGTCCCATCCAGGAACCTGTGCACCGTGCTGCGTGGAACAGGCTCCCAGCTTCCCTGTGACCCTGACTGGGACAATTGGTTAGAAGATGGATGGTTTTTTCAAACTTAGATGTTAGCTCCAAACACTCCTTCCTGGATGAGGAGCCAAGATGGACTCCGTTTGACTGAATGGGGTGTATTTAGTAACATCGCTAAGTCCCCAGGAGAAAGATCACCCAAACGCATCACTTTTAGCGAACGCCGGCATAAACGAAGGAGAGTGAGCATGGAGCGAGGCAGAGAATGTGGGTGTGCGTACACACTGCGGTTTGATGCATGCTTAAGTAACATTATGTATCATGCGGTCAGCATAGTAGCTGCCAGTGGTCTCCCAGCACTCTGAAGGATTTCATATTAATAGATGAGCTGTACACAGACTGAGGCTTCTGTAGCCTTCTGAGGGAGCTGCATTTGCGTGTTTATGAGTGCATTCATCATCAGCGTATTTAAAGTATTAAGGGTCAGACAAGTGTCGCGTTGAAACACATCAGCTGATTGGATGATGATGATACTGATGAACAAGTAGCAATAATAGAGAACATTTTAAAAAATATGTTGATTAATAATGGACACTTAAAGCATGCGGCTTGCCATCATGTACCATCGGAGCTCATTATCGGGGTGTCATAAGTAATTTGTAATTATTCATTAATTTGAAATGTGATTTTTTTTTTCTGCGATTTCGGAAGATGAACCTTTGGCTTGTCAGCTGCCAAGGGGGGTGGGGGTGTAAAAACAAAGTTGTGGGTTAGAGTCGCACATGTGGACTTTATATGATGTTATTTAAAAGATGGACATAAGATTTGTGCCAGAAAAACAGGTGACATGGGGAAAGAGGAGGGAAGGGGGCGGCCATGTTAACATCAGTGGGGGGGGGGGGGGGGGGGGGGGGGGGGGGGGGGGGGGGGGGGCGCTTGGGAAGGGCAGCAGCAGGGTGAAGAATCAGAACCCAGTGAAGTGAGAGGAGGGGAATGTCACCTGACTCTCACCCCCCCCCCCCCCTTCTGATAATGAATTAACAGCTTTAATACCAGCCGTAATACCTTGTTACGCCAAGTGTCGCACACTAACGCCCGAGGTCTGGCTGCGACTGCGTCTGCTGTCTTTTAGCAGAGGCCACGGCATGCTGGCTCCGGGTCAACGCGCCAGCGTGCCTGGCTGTGATTGGCTGGCGTGCCTGACTGTGATTGGCCAGCGTGCCTGGCCGTCATTGGCCGGCTCCATCTTCACACCCTCTCCGTCTTTACCCGTCAGGGCCTGCCGGCTGCCGGGGCTGCGTGCGAAGATGTTCGGGAACCACTGCGATGGCAAATGAGCTGGCAGGTGAGAACGTGACCAAAGCGAGCCCACCCCCACTGAGCCCCTCCCTGGCAGGACGCTGGCCTGCCCCATCTCCGCCCCCCCGGCACTCTGTCGGAAGAGGCTGCCCGCGAGGGCCAGTGTCAGACGCAGATGGCCAAGCGGCTACGGAGACGTCTCTGTGTCGCGCTCGTATCCAGGTCATCCTGGGCCTCCCGGGCCGCCTGGCGAACCCAGGAGCGGCAGCGCTGAGCTCCGGGCCGACCGCAGGCGGTTTCTTTGTGGTGTGAAGACAACGTAGCCCTCAGGGACGAGAGCGAAGAGACCAGGCAGCCTTTCATTTTCCATAAGATCGTTGGGCAGAGTTTTCATTTTAATCTGGGCCGGCTTTTTTTCATTAATTTATTAACCCCCCCCGACTGTCTCCAACGTTTGTTGTTCTATTCATATCTGTCTTGAGAAATTCCATAACCCCAGACACCACAACACCCCCGCCAACTCCCTTGTGAAGTTTAGAAGGTTGGCTGATTAAAGAATAATACTATCATTATGTTCCATGTGCCTCTGAACCCGAGAGAATTGCTGAGGAAAGGGCAAATGGTGGAGCTGGACGGAGGCACAATCCGCGCTCCTCGCGATCCCGCCGTGGTGCATTGCACGGCCGTGCCGCATTCAGGCAACACGCCACAACAAATCACCCACCTTGTCACCGTGTTCTTCTTCTACACACCTGTTCTGTTTGCTCGACACTTGCATGTTTCCTTGCTGTTTGCCGGCAGCGTGTGCCTCAGCGTGTCCCCGTGTGTGGGAGGAAGTAAATCACCCAGCTACCCACTCGTGGATATTAGTTCGGAGCCCTTTGTGGCTGGAGCCCACGTGAACTCGTTAGCCGCACACTCTATCACGCCATCTTCTCATTAACGCCCCGGACGTTCCGTTGTCTGCAGTAATGACCTGCCCCACGTGGGGAGGTACCACAGCTGGAAGGTACCACAGCATGGATCTCAAACTCAGCTGGACTCACCACTTTAAAAGCTGTAAAATCCTTGCCCTGGGAGCTCGCAGTGGTGTTTACAAGCTCATCAAGATGCGGGATCGGGAGAACGCAGATTCCAAGAAGGAGACGGTCATCCGGCAAACAGGGTTTCCTATGATCTCAGCAATGACCTGGGGGAGAAGCCAATCCCAAGCTTCAGCTCACTCTGCTATTTGAAAAACAAAATAACTGTCCAGGTACCGTAAATACCTACATCAGTGTTTCCCAACCCGGTCCTCGGGGACCCCTGGACAGTCCACATTTTTGCTCCCTCCCAGCTCCCAGTAGGAGCAAAAATGTCCCAGAGGGTTGGGTTGGGAAACACTGACCTACACAGTTTTGTTCTTATGTTGTCTATTTCCTTCTCTGGTTTGAGCTGCACTGGGAAGCCCTGACAGGCAAGCGGATGGCACCAGATGCATTCTGGGACTCATGCACTCCCACGTACCGTGCTGCCGCAGGGGGCAAATTAATAGGGGACGATTCAGGTGCTTCTCAGAACATATTGAGCGTGTCCCAGTGGTCCTCAGCGTGGGAATGCCGTTTCCGGAAAGCTGGACTGGGTGCATGCACATGACTGTAGACTTTCAGTATGAAATTCTCCTGCATGTGTGCAATAATAGACCAAAAATAACCTGAAAAAACAGCAGGTTTTCCCAGAGTTCCTTCCTGTCATCGAACTGCTAGGAAAATAAGATTTCCCTGTGTTTTAACAGCACGTCTTTAGAACACTTGCACTCGGGCGATCCCAAAGGACACCACATCAGCATGCATGTGCAGCCAGGAGATACGATTTCATGATTTTATGCGGAAATGTCTCATTTCTCACGGGCGCCTGGTGCTTTCTGGAGTCACTTCATGGTTTCAAACCAAGATTAGATAACATTGTCAGGGGTGCAGTGGGGGGGGGGGGGGGGGGGGGGGGGGGTCAGTTTGCCCTTATGCTCTGAGAATCCAGCTGCTGAGGAATGTGCTGGCTGCTTTGATACGCTGCTGTCAGCATGGGATATAGACCTTTGAGGGGGGTGGGGGGGCTGCTTCCCATTTCAGCCCTTCCTCTCTTGACCTGTGTAAATGGGCACAAACCCCCAGCATCCTGCCCCCTGCAGGCCGACACAGGCAGGGCATGGATTCCAAAGAAGAGTGTGTCCAGGCCCCGATTTGGCCCGATACCCGTCCTCTCTCTCGCCGGTTCGAGATGATCAATAACGCATATGTGTGTCAGCCATGCTTCCAGGTAAACAACGCAAACGAATCAAGTGGGAAACAAGGGGCAGTGCCCCCCCCCAAAGTGTTCAGGGATGGGTGGGGGGGGGGGGGGGGAGCCTTGTCTGAAGTGGCCTATCAGGATTATTTGCGGCTCATTTGTTTGCCGAATGGGTTTCCCCTCGGGGTCAAGGCGTCGCTATAGAATCGACAGAAATCCGCCCACTCTCTCCGCCCTTCAGTGGGCCCAAAGCGATGAATTAAGATGAACTTGGCTCATTTATTTAGGGAAAGCGGCGCGTGACTGTCACATCACGCTCCCCAAGTGCTTTCGCAGCAGCCAGGGCCTTGTGACGACCTCAGCAGCCCAGCTCTTTAAAGGAATGGGGTCATTAATTAGGGGGGGGGGGGGGAGTGGTGGTTATAATTGACATGTAAGAATGAGGCAACGTGCTAACGTCAGGCTGAAAAACTCGAAGGCTCGCTATGAAAGACTTTCCCCACTTTGTGCCTTTTTCCAGCCTGCCAAATCATTTTGTTTTTGTTGTTGTTGTTGTTGTGATTTTGCGTAAAGAGGGATGAGTTTTTAAGTCTGTCTCTTTGCAAATTATCAGAAGCCAGTTTTTGCATACTCTTCTCTCAGTCAGACGGTATGCCGCCCGCCTTTTACTTAAAGGGGACGTCTTGTCGAAATCAGCGGCCTCGTTATGTTGCCTGACAGATATGAGCATGTGGATTCCAATCTAGTTCCAAAGACTCTCGTGCCCATGAATAGAGTCTCCAACAGTCACGCTCTGGTCACTCAGTGGAAATCAAATCATTATGCTTCCGCAGTTCAAAACCCAAATATGCATTTAATATCAGTTTTATATATGTGACTGTTCAGAAATATGCCACTTCTTTTATCTGTACCCATCAGGGGCCTAACTGAAGTTCCGGTGTCAGAGATTCGGTCCTGTGATGCTGATGCATTTCTCATTCTTGCTGCTGTTCCTGCCACAGCTGTTAAATCTGCTTTCAGGAATCGCTCTGCTCACGTGACTGCTCATCGTAACTGTATCATAAAAACAATAGAAATTGTAGTTAATTGCATACATAAACCATTTAAGATGGTAAGACATACTTTATGGAAATGTATTAATTTGCTACTATGGCATGTGGAGTATGGAATTCCATTCAGGTGGTGACATATTTGTCAGGGCTTTTGTCCTCGGGTCACATGACTTCTTCCCCAGCCTACTGTAGCTCCAGGAGCGTCTACTCTCATTTAAAATACATTCCTGTGTTTTTTTGTGAATGTTTACTTTGGATTATTCATGAATTCTTCACCCCTATGCTTGAAACACTAAATGCAAGAAAATGTGAGACATAGCATTGTTCAGGTTGTGGGGGGGGGGGGGGTTGAGGAAGAAACAGAAGAAATTCTTGTTTAAATTTTTTTATTTTCTATTGTCCTACTGTGCTCATTTGCATATGTTCTAATGTTAAAGTGTGCTGTTTGTTTTTTTCAGCATAAATATACACGCACTACACAGTTAAAATTCTTCAAACCTTTTCTTTGACTGCCTAAGACTTTCGCACAGTGCTGTATATTAGAAGCAGCTAGCAATGTCTTGCTGTCTTGTTGTCCTTATTTTTCTGCCCACAGGGCAGGCAGAATGTTAAACAGGTGTCAGGTTAAAGTCAGCCACTCAGCACAGGGCTGTGCCATTCCATTCATGAACTGGAATTCGAATTGAATTGCCCAAACCCCACGGAATGCTGAATTGGAATTTGAATCGGAATGACAGAAAGAATAATCTAATTCATTTCAATTCAAAGAAATTCAATGCCTTCACAATATATGTGAATGTCATTTAACCTAGCGAAACATAAATAATTAAAAATTAATTTTTGCTCTAGATCATAGATGTACAGCCGCGGAAAAATATTAAGAGACCACAGCATAATTTTTCGTTTCACTCATGTTATGGGTGTGTGTCTGTGAATAATATATTTTTTATTGAAAACTGTATCCTGGCTGTTCCCTGTTTCTTATTAATGAAGGGCGTTTGTCTTGCTTTATGGGACATCAGTCCTGCTTCTAGGAGCCTGATACAAACTGTCCTAGCAGTGCACTTCACACCTGCACTTAATGTTCTCCGTTCCTTTTGAAGGTCACTGGATGTCATCCTACGATTCATGAGAAACTGTCAGTTAAGTTAACGGTCATCTCTGGCATTAGAATGTCGCTTCCGCCCTTTACCTGTCTGGTTCCTGGTCATTCCCGGTGTCTCCTGCTTCACCTTATTCTTGTGTACTGCTGTCTTAGAAACTTGTGTCCTTTTCCAGAGGCACATCTTTAACTGCTTACCTGTATGAGCATTTCTGTGTTACTGCAGCAGTCAACTGTAGCTTTTTCTGTGAGTGTCAGTTGGCTACCAGATGGATTGGGTGGGGATAGGGTTACTCGAATGACTAATCCCACCTACCTGGAGCTTTTGTGTCAGATGTTTAGATTAAAAACAATAATTACTTTATCTTAATTATTTTCTTATGTGCAAACAATACGTTTTGTCTTTCAGTTCAACCTTAGCACTGTAACACGAAGGAAAATTTCCTGACAAATGCAATCATAAATTATTCCAATATATATGACTCATTGTTTAATTACATCACATTTTGTCAGCAAAATCAAAGGTTTTGTCATTTAGATTCCGGCCTGAAATTTTGTCATGCTACACTGAAGATTGCAGTGAAGGTGCAGTGAAATCTGTGGTAGCATAGTATTTGCAGGCAGGTT